AGCAAGTAAAACACCTTAGATAGAGTCCTTAAATCAGACCATTAGTGAGAGAGGAGATTAGCACTATGATTCGTTACTAAATAAAGATACTCAATCTTTTTCTACTATATTTTAGTCCATTATCATTCTGTCTGCAAACAGAGTGAAAACAAAGGAATACACTCTTAGGTTACTCCTGGGAGACTCTGTATTGAACAAACCCAACTGTTCCTAATTAATTTTAACTATGACAACTCCTCCCAAATGCTGAACATTCCAAGCCATTTGTGAGAACGGCTGGATATCACTCAAAGAAGTATGGATTTCCTGAGTACACTGGACTGTAACTGCAAGCACAAAAGAAAATATCATTATTGTGCCCTTCCCATATTAGGAACTCAAATAATACATCATGTTAAATAAATACTCTCTTTCTGCTTCTGAGAACATGTAATTTTCATATTGTGTCCTGATATTTACTGTCATAATTGCTAAACCAGTCCACTAAGATGACACATTTATTAACACATCATGTATTTTTTATTTAATGAAATTGAAAATAAACACCACAAACTGTAAAATTATGAGAGATTTTTTCCTCCAATTTCCAAAGTTTCTGTAATACAGTTATATCACTCTTGCAATTAAAAAAAAAAAAGCATTAAAAGGAAAATATACCTATAGCACTTATTGGTTTAGACCATATACTAAGATTTTTTTCAATTAAGTCCCATTCTAAGGGCTTTTTTATTATTAAAAAAGAATCCTTGCTAAATTAAACAAGAAAACCTCAGCATAAAGCTGAACTGCTGGAAGATCATTTAAAATACTCACGCCATATTTCAATAAAATAAACCTTTTATCATCACCAAGAACACCACTTGTATACCCACAATTGTACTGTCAACGTATCATAAAAGACACTGGAGATTCAGAGTCAAAAGACCTGGCTTCCATCCTCAAGAAGTTTACTATCTAATTAGGAAAATAGGGCATTTACCAAAAAAAGAGCATCAAAAATACAAGGGAGCACTGGACATGCCAAGCATCTTGTACACAGAGAAAGAGTGTGAAATATACAGCTTTTGAAATCCTACAGACCTTGGTTCAAATCTCAGATCTACTACTTATTAGCTCATGTAAATTACTTCCCTCATTCTTAAATTAAATGAAGTAAAATTCCTTGCATATTGTAACACCCTTGTGTATATAGTAAACATTCCTTACGTATAGTAAGAAAGGCTGATAGCAGTATTATTATTAAGAATACAGGCTTGAGGGGTGCCTGGGTGGCTCAGTCGTTAAGCATCTGCCTTCGGCTCAGGTCATGATCCCAGGGTCCTGGGATCAAGCCCCGCACGGGGCTCCCTGCTCCGCGGGAAGCCTGCTTCTCCCTCTCCCGCTCCCCATGCTTGTGTTCCTGCTCTGTGTCTCTCTCTGTCAAAAAAAAAAAAAAAAAAGAATACAGGCTTGAAGAGGAAATGGGCAACTGGAAAAGCTTAAAGAGAGAAAGTATTAATATCTTTTTTATAATCTATCACCACAAGCAAAAATCACAAGAACTTTCTCATTCAAGTTTTACTTCTCATTGATTAGAAGAAAATAGAATGTCTAGTGAAGACAACTGAAATTAGAAAACACTAAGGCTAGGGGAACCTGGGTGGCTCAGTTGGTAAGCATCCAACTGTTGATCTCAGCGGGTCTCGATCTCAGGGTTAGTTCAAGCTCCGCACTGGGCTCCACGATGGGCATGGAACCTACTTAAAATTTTTTTTAAAAAGAAAGAAAGAGGGCGCCTGAGTGGCTCAGTTGGTTAAGCGACTGCCTTCGGCTCAGGTCATGATCCTGGGGTCCCGGGATCGAGTCCTGTATCGGGCTCCCTGCTCAGCGGGGAGTCTGCTTCTCCCTCGGACCCTCCCCCCTCTCATGCTCTCTCTCTCTCTCAAATAAATAAATAAAATCTTAAAAAAAAAAAAAGAAAGAAAGAAAACACTAAGGCTACACAGCACTAAAGTACCCTGGGAAAGTCCTACTAGAGCTACAAATCATAGAATATGATCTATAAAAAAGAATGTCAGTTGGAAAGGGCCTTAGATCAGCTAATTCAAGCTCTCCCACTAGAATGTAAGTTCCATGTTTTGTCTCCAAGAATTATTTATTTTGTTCCTATTATATCCTCAGTCCCTAGCACATAATTCCTAGCACACAGTAAATGCTCAACAAATATTTTTTGAATATTAAAATTAAGAAAACTCAGGCTTTGGAGATCTATCTAACTCAATGCCAGAGTTAGCTCTTGGCAGATCTAGGACTGGAACTCAATTTCATTACTCTAGTATTCTATCCTCTCTAGTAGCTAGAATATGATAATTTAAATAATTTATTTTGGTGGCTGGGAGCTGGTGGGTTGGTTGGTATGCAGGGAAAGAGGAAGGAAGGAGTAAATTAAAATATTTTCCCCCCAAACTGTCAGTTTTGCTTAACTGATAAAGGCAAAAACTATAAAGACAATCCCAGCATAGTGCCTAGCACATAACATGTACTTAACCAATATTTGTTGAATGAAAGAACCTACTCCAAACCCATTATTATCTCATGACCAGAGGCAGAAACTAACTCCAGCATCTGTTTAATCTTTTAACTGTCACAGAGCCCTTTAAAATTTTCAGTCATTCATAAGACAGTTTTTAATCACTTTCTTCCAGATGGGCACTGAGGAAGAGAGATGAATTAAAAGATGTCCCTGCCCTGGAGGATTTCTCACTTGAGTATGCCTAAGTGTGTATATTTGGGGATGGACGGTGGGGCATGACACAAATAGATCAATAATGAATGTGAAATCAGGTTGCATTGTTACCTTAGTTTATTTGCTTCAAGCAGTTAAAAAATTAAAACAATACAAATTAGAAAAGTTTTAAAATAGCAAGAAGGCACATTAGGGTATATTAACACTTAAAGAGGTTCTTTTTCTGTCCCTTAACATATATCTTATTGCCTCTTAATGTCTTAAAATCAAAATATTCTAAATTGACTTAATTTGAATTATCAGTATAAATGAACCATCAATGTATGTTCTCTCATATGTGAAACTCTTAAGGATAATACTCCTGATTCAGTATTTACTCTGTGTACATGTTAGTATTTAAATACATAACCACAAGAACATATTTAAATTATTTAACTGTAAAACTGACAGAGCCTAAAGAAAATCTCCAGAGATGAATGATAGTAAACAGAAACTAAAAACATTACCCAGGGAGAGAATCAAGTATGCAAACAACTAAGAAACAAATCTACAGAAACTTCAAGAACAAAAACTTCAAGAGGGTAAAACTCCTGCCTGAATTGGCCAACACAGCCAGAGAGCAAGAGCCTGCCAACAGGATCTTGTATAATGCAAGTCACTAACTAGACTCATAAAAAGTGAACACCCAAAAGTCAATGTTGCCACTCCACAAATTTAAATCTCAGGAGAACCCTTCCAAAGAGATTCACCACCAAAACTAAACCACTACATTCCAAGGATTCTTCCCCTGTTATCTGCTTGTCAAAATATGATAAGTAACATCAAGAAAACTGGGAAACAAACAAACTTCACTTATGAAACAGAATTCCTGCAAACTGAAGTTAGTTATTTCACCTGAGGCACCTGTTTATGTGACTCCAGGTTTCTCAAAAGAACATTTCTCACTCAGTTTCTCTATTCCAGAGGGCTAGGTGAAATATCCCAAAGCCTTTTGCTCCAACACAGAAAATTCTATGGCCCAAATGTATAAGCACCGACAAATCTAGGCCAAGGAGACTACAAGGTGGCAGGGAGATATGTAAGGCAGGAAGGAAGGCTGTGGTGGGCCCCTAGGGGGAAGTATATGGTCACCAGCTTTGGAGAGAACAAGCTGAGAAGTTTATGGTTGGGGTGAGTTTTGGTCAGAGGAGCAGGAAGGGACTGACAGGTCCAAGTCCTCATCATCCTGAACATCATGAGAGGATTACAACTGGCTTTCTTTACAGAGAGGGAGGAACGAGGCTCCCAGAGTGAATGATGTTGAAGCACAAGGTATTCCGGGAAGCACAAGGACTGGGCTCTGAAGGAAACAGAAAGGCAAGAGGAAAGACCCTGAGAACAGGTTCCCCCACAATCAGTGATCTCCACAGTCCTCCCAGCGCCAAGACTGGAGGAGCCATCACACCTGTTGAAGGATGTTTTCCCTGTTATCCGTGTGGGCAGCGATTAAGAGAAAGCCCCCACCCAGTAAGAGTGGAAGCAGAAAGAGACGGAATTAGGGGTCTAACCCAGAAGGAAACCTGATCAGGAGGGGAAGAGGCTGAATTCAGGAGGAGGCTAGCAGGGTAAGTGCTTGGGGAGTGTAAGACATATTTGGAAGAGGGGCTGACAATCGGAAACTGCTGGGGAAGGGAAGGCTTTCGCGGGACTCCAGGGGGAAAAGGCCGGTTTAGACAGGAAAGGCTATCTTAAAGGGAGCCTTGGGCGTCTGGGTCGGGAAGGTGACTTTTAACTAAGAGAAGCGCTCTGCATAGCCCAAAGAGCCAGCCTCGTGAGGGGCGAGGGCTGACTTGGGGGTGAGGTTGATCCGCGCGAGCTCAACAGGAGCTCACCTGGAGTACTTCTGGCCTGGAAGGAGGAAACTTACTCGCTGGGTGAAAGCTGCGAGGAGCGAGAGGCGCCAGGCGACGGCTGAACAGGGCAGGGGGCACGGTCCACTCAGCAGTGGAACGAAGGGGCCACGGGACAGGGCGCGGGGGAGGGGGGGCGTGGGGCGGGGTCACGGCTGCTGCGACGGAGCTGCGGGCTCGGGATGGCGCCCTCCCTCAGTCACACAGTCTCACACACACACACACACACACACACACACACACACACACACACGCTCTCGCTCTCACCATCGGCCACCCCGCCCGCGGCGAGGGAAACTGCCCGGGTCGGTGAACTACAGGACGGTGGGGGAGGGGGCCGGGCCGGGGACACCGGCCCACCGAGCCGGACGGGCAGGCGGCGTTACCTGTGTCAGGGAGAGCTGGGCCGCCGCAGCCATGGTGTTTCCATCATGCACGGGAGGGGAAGGAAGGACGGGCGGACTGGGGCTCGGGGCGGGGAGGAGGCGGAGAGAGCGGTCAGAGGCGAGGCCCGGGCAGGCGGGCGGGCGTCTCCCCTAACTTCGACAACTTCCCTCCTCTCGCCCGCCCCACCCCGCCCCGCCTGGCCCCGCCCGCCCGGCGCCAGCGCGGCGGCACCCAAATCCTGGATCCGGATTTAGCGCTGCCGGACAGGAGCCTACCCCATCCCCCGGGCCGCCTGCGAAAACCCGGCGCGGACATAAAAGTAAGGCGGACGGGCTGCGTAGGCGGAGGAGACCACTACAGATTGTGCCGTGAACTTTAAGCAGGTCACCTACCTACTCTAAGCTTCTGCTTCTGAAAAATGGGGGCAATTCTACCCAAAGAAGGGTAGAAAGGTTCCTTGTGAAAATTAAATGAGATCATGATAGAAATAACAGTACTTTATTAAAATATGCTAGATTCTGTGCTAGACACTTAATTTTTCAAATGTATGAATGGAAGGAACTAAGACACAAATAAGTTGTATAAATGAAGAAACCAAAACACAAATAAGTATTTTACCTAAGATCATACAGCTGATTAGGGAGCCAGGTTAGAATCCAGGTCTCACTCCAAAACCTCTCATGCAACCATCTGCTATTAGGGTATGATATTGAAAAAGAAGACTTTTAAGTCATTCCTTCCAAGAGCCAAAATCCAAGTGGGAGGGACGATAAATAACGTCCTTGCCTTCTTGCTGCCTGCCACACTTACGTTGTTTAATAAAAGAGCACTGGGACCTGCTCAGGTGCCTGCAGCACTCCTAACTCCTCCCATAGTCAACCTGGCAAACTTCTCCTAGTTTCTGAAGACACACTTAAGTATTTTCCCCTTTGCAAAGCAACTCCTGACCTCCCCAAGTCAGAGTTACACACTCTTCTTTTTGACATTTCTTCTCTACCCTATGAAGTCATTATCACTCTAATGACTCTTTACATCTGTCTACCCCTCTAGACTGAGAGTTCTCAATGGCAAGGACAGTTTCTGATGTATTTCTATATCCTCAGACCCTAGCATATAGCAGGTACTCAATAAAAAGCCTCAGTTACTGCTTGTGTTAAACATAATACATCCTACACTATCTCATACTGTCATCTTCAGTTGGAATAAACAAGTTACTAGAAACCCTGATCTTTAAAAACTTAGCTTATATGCCACCTACTTCAAGAAGCCTTCTAGGAACTCCCACCCCACCCTTTAGTTATTCTGATATGATCCTTATTATACTCTGCCTTGTTTTTAAGAGTTAATTAAAGGCTTTTCTCTACCCCACCACACTGTAAAATCCTTGAGGACAGGGGACTGACTCATTACTACATCCCACTCACAGGTTAGCTACCACAGTGTAGGCCTCAATAAATGTTTTTGCCCAGAATTGGTCTTCCTTTCTCAGTCATGGTGGCTTCCCACACCAACAAACCACAACTTTAATCAGGCCCATGACCTTGTCACCCTTATCATAGCAGTCCCCATTTATTTATTTTTTTAAAGATTTTATTTATTTAACAGAGAGAGAGACAGCAAGAGAGGGAACACAAGCAGAGGGAGTGGGAGAGGGAGAAGCAGGCTTCCTGCTGAGCAGGGAGCCTGATGCAGGGCTCAATCCCAGGACCCTGGGATCATGACCTGAGCCAAAGGCAGACGCTTAACCAATGAGCCACCCAGGTGCCCTGCAGTCCCCATTGAATATACCAGGATGGCCAACTGAACAAGGCTCATGATAGAGTAAGCCTCACCTAATTTTTAGACCTTTGCCAAAATGGACAAACCATCCCAGAAGTGCCCCCAGAAACTCCTGACTCTGCTCAGACCCCTTTTTACAAGGTCCAGCCACAAAAAGCCAGCCATGCCGGTCTGGTGAACAACCACTTATTCAACAGTCTCCATGGGTCTCTTTCTGCTGTTATTCTTTTTAACTCAAGGGAGGAGAGGAGATACTGTTTTAAATTACTCTACCAGGTAGAGTAGTAATTTTTAGTAATTCGACTTTTCTGTTTTACATTATCACATTTGAGCTTCACAACTCTAAAAGGTATAACCCCACTTTATAGATGCAATAAATGAAGATTATAGGGGGGAAAAAGATTATAGGGGTTAATTGCTTTTCCCAGTTATACAGCTAATAACCAAAGCAGTATAGCATAGTGGAATAACCAGGGCTTAGACACCAGAAACATCCAGGTTACAATTCTGGCTCTACCATTTACTAGCTGTACAAACTTAGGGTTGTGAGGATGGATGAGATAACATATATGAAAATACCTAAAGATGGAGATAGTTGTAGATGTAGATGTAGGTTAAGAAATCTGAAAGCCATGGAAAAAGTTACTATGGGAAATACAAATTCACTTGCTATTCAAAGAGGTTCCTCCAAACAATATGAAGTAGAAGAAGATATTACTCTTGGGTGAATAGAGTGGAATCCCTGGTGTATAAAGTTTTCCAGAAATGCAGTATGTAGCTAGTAAGGAGAATAGGGAATCATTTGGTGTGTGGCCTCAGACAAACCATTTAACCTGTTTGAGCCTCAGCTTCTCATATATAAAAATGAGCAGATCAGGGGCGCCTGGGTAGCACACTCAGGTAAATGTCCTGCTCTTGGTTTTAGCCCAGGTTGTGATCTCAGGGTCATGAGATCGAGCCCTGCATTGGGCTCCACACTCAGCACGGAGTCTGCTCAAGACTCTTCCTCTGCCCCTCCCGCTCCTGTTCATTCGCGCTCTCTCTCTAAAATAAATAAATAGATCTTTAAAAAAATGAGCGGATCAGGGGCGCCTGGGTGACTCAGTCAAGAGTCTGCCTTCGGCTCAGGTCATGATCCCAGAGTCCTGGGATCAAGCCCTGCATCAGGCTCCCTGCTCTGGTGGAAGCCTGCTTCTCCCTCTCCCACTCCCCCTGCTTGTGTTCCCTCTCTCGCTGTGTCTCTCTCTGTCAAATAAATAAATAAAATCTAAAAAAAAAAAAAAAAATGAGCAGATCAGTGTGGAAAATATAGAGGAAACATAAGGAATTATTACCGTTATAATCACTATGTGATTTATAGTAAATCAAAAACGATACACCATATTTTTTCAGAATTGCTTTTCACAGTTTATATATGTTTTCACATACAGCATCTAGCACAATTCCTGGAATCAAATAGGTACATGAAAAAGGTTTGTTGAAATGAATTAAACGCATAATGTCATGTGTAGTTATTATTTGCATCCTTATTTTATCCCTATTTCACAGATAAGAAAACCAAGGAACAAATATTTTGTAGATAACTTGTTTCAGTAAAGGCCACTTAAAGCAGGTTTGGGTCTTGATTAAAATAATAATAATGATAATCAGAGCCCTCAGCAAGGGAAGACAAGTTAAAAATCATTACATGGGATTTGCCCCAGACCCCTTTCCAGATCATCAATAATTAGTACTGGCTTCCTTTTCCACTCATTGGTTCTGGTTTAAATTTAAAACGACATGTAATGGATGATAGGAGTGATGGTCCAAACTCCTAAAAAGGCCTAGAACTTCTAGGACTGGATTTCTTTTTAAATGACACACCAGTGACAGTTTGCAAATGCCTGTCCCAGATCTCATCAGAGCACTGGGTCATATCCCAAATCTATTTTAGGAGAGTAAAATGTAACTAATGGAAGATACTTGTGATCTAATTCATTGTAACAAGAATGAGTTTCATGGAGCAGACAAAAAAGACTTGCCTGTTTTTTCTAGGGCAACTTAATGTCTCTTGATCTCTAAGCCTCATATTCCTCATGTGTCCATTGGAGATAATAATGCCTACCTTATGGGGATGATATAAGGACTACAAATCATGCATAAATGTCCTATCAAAGAGCCTTGACTGGGATAGATGCCTAATTAGTGGTAGCTATAAGAATACCATTCTTCAAGATCACCATTTAACTCTACCCCCTCAGACAACTCTCCAATTAGTAAGAGAGTTTTGCAGTTACATTGGCCCTAAGAAAGGAGTGCCTTGAACAGCTGACACATGTATCCCTGTTATAGGAAAGGTAGATGTTCCTTAGGTAATAAAGTTGTGTCTGATGACTTAAATCTGCGTACTGACAACCAACAAATGTTGCTTTCCTGTACATTATTTCATTTAATCCTCACAACAACCCTATGGGGATTATTATTAATTTTATTTTACAGAAGAGGAATTTGTCCAGATTCATAGTGACAAAGCTAGAAATTATACATAAGTCTTCTGACTTAAAAGTGCCTTTTACTAGGGCATGTTGCTGGTGTCCTGTAGACATCGATCACCTCCAAGAAGACTTGATAAAATGGTGCTTTTGACCATGCAAAGCTGAAGATGAGGCCCTGGATTTATAATAGCCCTGACCCTGAAGAGGAGAACTTAGATCCTGAACAACTTTGTCATCAGCCTATCTTTCCATCTTTCTATCCCACTCCTTCTCCCCAACCGACCCTTCCGGGACACCAGAGCTACTTTTATTTCTTTATATTCCAACTTTAGAGGTGACTGTTATATCAACTCTTCACGAACACTGCGTATCTGTGATGTCAGCATTTAGAAATACAGGATGCTTGATTGAAACTATGGGAAAAAAAAAAAACTGAGGAGCTCTCTGAATACACAAAGAACCAGTTTATTTGCATGAGACTTTGAGAAAGGCCCTTCCATATAAATGGTGCTAAGCTACAGGAAAAAAAAATTAAACTACAATTGTAATGATAATCTGGAGCTCATGCTTCCAAGCTGTCCGTTGCATAAATATCGCCCATTATTGTTCATGTTTGCCCAGGGCAGAAAGAATATGTGAGGCTGCACAATAATAACAATTGTGCTATACAAATAACTGTCCCTGTGCCAGGAACTGAAAAGAACAAGCAGTAAGAGATTTTTAAATGCCACATACACCCAGGGTGTGATAGGGCATTTCAAAACTGTCTCCATCACTAATTTTTCAGGGCAATGGGGTGTCCTGGGAAGAGCCTGAATTTAGAACTGGGAAGCCCCAGAATTTAGAACTGGGAAGCCCCAGTCTGGCCCAGTCTTGGCTCAGCT